TATATTTAATTAATTAATTTTAAAAAAGTAAAGGGCTGTTAAAAATTTAACTTTTAATAAAAGAAAAGATGATCAAAATAATAGATAAAAGTACTTGATAGTCCTGCAACTCCTCTTCAGTAAACTGACTCTTTCCTGCACCCATCCTCACACACTGAATTTTACACAATGTCAACCGTAGACGCCTCAATTATCTTTATCATGAAATTCAATCATTGTTAATCAGCATTACACACTATTGATGGCTAATATGTGAAATGTCTTGTATGACACCTGTCAAAATAAAACGAGATATAAAAACGACTTTATCAAATAATGAAAATTTAATGCTCCCTCTAAATTGACATTACATTTAATTTCCTGTCGATCGCTTAATTATTTCACGTTCATCAGGCGAATTAAAAATCGCTATTGCAATTACAATAGAATTGTATGTACATACATTTTTTTAAAGGGCGCTACTTTATGTGAATATTTTATACTCAGATAATGACGTCATTTACCTGCTTACTATGGTAACAAAGCTATCGCATAACAATACAGGTTCATAACCTCACTTTTAATGAGTCTATTAGACTCACTAAAGCACACGGTCTCGATTGTGAGTAAAAATCACGTAAAAACTCAGTTGAATCTCACTTGCCAGCATCAAAAAGAACGTGCATTCAACTGAGTTATGACGTCACAAGTGAGAATTATTTGAGCTTTGATGTAAATGGAAAGCACCTATCAGCTTTCTGCCTACTTGCACTCTGCACTTTAAACGCAATCCAAAATACGTTCCAAAATTTACTTCTTGGAGTAGAGTAAAAATCAATTGACCAATCAAGATAAAAGAAACAAAAATTTCTTTGTCCTGATTGGTCAATCAAATGCTACTCTATTCCAAGGAGTAAATTTTGGAACGCAACCCTGTACATTGAATATTCAGGCGTCGGACGAAGAAAGAGACAGAAAGAGAAAGGAGAGAGGAAGAGATTAAAGTGCGAAGAAACGAACAGACGCACGTGGACGCACATTAGTGAAGCGATAAGAGCAGAAACTGTGGTTTCTGCTGGAGAATTTTGAACAATTTCAAACGATTCGGAACAAGTCTTGCGACAAAACACAAACAATGGCGACAGAAAAAATCACAAAGGTCTTAAAAGACGTTTACTATGACCAGTTTAAATGGTGGGTTAACGCAAAGTGTACTTGTCGTTTGTTGATAGATCTTGAAATAGATTTGAGAATTGCTGATGAAATATAACTTTCATAATCGGCTCGTGTAAATGTGATTAATTATACCTATATAATTTGTGGAATATAAGTCGAACAATTTTTAATTATTATTACTTTATAATGAAATTAATGCCATAATTTTTTGAAAATTGGAATTAATATATAATATAATTTATATTATAACTACCCAGATTTTAATTGTTTTGTCAGTTATCTCTTTTATAGAAGATATATAATTATATATGTATTATTTATATGTATCGAGAGAGAGAGAGAGATATTTTTAATACAAAATTGATTTATCAAATTATGCAATTTTTTACAACACATGTAAATAATGTTTTATGCTAATATGTTAGTTTTATATTACAGGTCGATAGTGAAAAACATTGCCTTTTTTATAATTGGTGTCAAGATTGCCGTCGAATGCAATGGGATGACTCTTATGCCACCGGCTCCTGTTTAAGTCTATCTTATATAGGACCTGAAAAAGAATTGTTCAAATATTCCAATATCATGTCTCACATCATGTAGATTCATCACAATCTCATCGCAATACAATTTAACTTTAGTTGCATATGAAAATATATAATTATATCTAGAAAACGAAATATTGTTGAAGAATTTTTTAATAAATAGCATTTGTTATCAATTTATAGCTTTTAATTATATATATTTATGATAGCATTTGAAATTATTGCTATTTTCTTGCATATTTATATAGCTTCCTTCAGCAATTAAAAGTGTCACCGATCTGATAATTATTGGGAAGATTTTATATTGTACCTACATAATTTATTCATGACCATATTAAAAGCTAAATAAAAAATAAATGAATTAAAAGACACAAAAAAGATCTTTATTATTGAAAATATTATATATATTAATTTCTTTTAAAAGGTGGTTTTTTGCGCATTTATTTTTGGTTTGCACTTGACTCTTAAACTTTTCCTAGAAAGAGAAAACAAAGATATATATAATTAATAATATTATCTCTCCTTTGCAAAATTTTTTATTTTCGCCGGTCTAATCTTGATAAGTCCCATTTTCCATGTAAAAAAAAAAAAAAAAGAGTTTTATCTTTAGTTTCTTAACATTAATTCATACACCGTGTGGCATATTTATGCGCTTGCGATATTAACACCATGTGACCAACAATCATGAATCGAACGCAACGCAAATGCTCTCTCTCTCTCTCTCTCGCGCGTGCGCAAATTTATCAAGAAGTTGAATTATATATGAACGGAAATTGAAAAAACAATTTCATCTTTCTCTAATCCCAAAAATGTATTATTGGATTTTATTAATTATTGTGTATGGCTGGGGACATCAACTATCAACTCTGCATCTAGTTGATCTCGTTGCATCTCGGCCAATCAGCATGTAATCTCTTAATTTTTTTTTCTGGTACACCTAGGTTTATTCTAAAATCCACTCGTCGAATAGAGTAGTTTTCAATTGACAAATCAAGATAAAGAAACCTTTGCTTCTTTTATCTTGATTGGATAATCAAAAGCTATTCTTCTTCGACGAATAGATTTTAGAACGCAACCCTATATGATAAGGCAAAGTCCTTGAAATGTCTTGTAACATAAACACCTCTAAACTAAACTATAAATTCATATATATAAGTATACGGCAGTATACGGTATAGCAATGCGTAGATAATACATTGTGATGGATGTGTGTGGTTGACATTTGTGTTTGATCAGCTAATTAAATATTAGTACAATCAGCACATTTCCCAATTTGTTTGGTCAATGATCGCAAAAGATTGTAATATAGAACGATAGAAATTTTAATAAATAATTAATCTAGTGTTGTGCATGTGGGTGACAAGTTGTTTTTCACAAATTTGAAGTCTATAAGGATACAACGTCTTTCATACATAAATATAACATTCCCCATCTAAACGTAATATTTATATGTTATCAACATGAAGGAAGAACTTGAAAGCAACGATAGCTCCGAATTATCAGGTAAACATACAATATTGTAAGCAACCAATAATTTTCAATTAATAATTAAAAAAATTATTTTGCTATCAAATAATATTTTTAAAGATGCTTGCAACAATGAATGACTAAAATATTTGTTTTTAGCTGTAATTGGAGTGCTATTGGACTCTTTGGATGATAAAAATCAAGATGTCAAACAATCTGTAATTGAATCGATTGAGAGAATAAGCAAGAAGAATCCAGAGATTGTCATTCATGCTGCTATATATTTTTGGGAAATGCATAGAAAGGTTAATATTCGTAATAATTAAACATTATTATGGCACAATTCAATTATTGTACATTTTTTGTTGTTTCAAATAGATATCTACTGAACATACGGCATCTCTGTTGAATATAATGTCCAATATCTGCAGACATTCAGCTACAAATTTAAACAGAGATTTAGCAACATCTCTCGCTGAAATAGCAGTGACTGAACTAATGAGAGAGACTGAGAATGAGGCAGCTGAGTTGTTAACTGAACTTTGTAAAATATATTGCATGCAAGCCATGGGTGGACTTTTATCTAAGTATGCATTCTAACATCATCTTATAGTTATAATAAATTAATCTATATTTGAGAGAAAGGAAACGATAAGTTACAAAAATTGTATAAAATTATATATAATCTTATAACATGACATATTTGTAGATTAGAACCTGGGATAATTCCTGATGCTGCAATAGTTTCCACAATAGGGAAGCTTGCAATAGCCAATCCATACGGGATGTTGTCCTTTGTTAAAATAATATTAACTATTATGTTACCAATGTTAAGTCAAATACGTGAAGAAGTTCTTAAACAAGCAGTTTGTTTCAGTAAGTATATATATTTCATAATACTTTTGATAGTATTAATAAAGCTGTATGTAATTCAGTTCTTTATTTTCAGTGATTAATAAATTTTGCGAGGCTATAAATGATTATATGATGAATGCAGAAGCCTTAGTTCCAGAAATTAACAAACAAACGTTTGAGGAAGAAATTTGCTCTGTCTGTGATTTTTTAATGCATAATTGGTTGAAAACATCTCGCGATTTTAATTCAATAGAAGCTATTTTAAACGCATTAGTTTCTATAATATCTCTGCTATCCGAGCAGCAAGATAACGAGAGAATTATAAGATTGATACCTATATGTTTAAATCTTTCTAAGAAATCAAATATACGTTTAGCTTCGATAAGGTGAGTTTCATATTCTGTGATAAATTTATTATTGATTGACCATACTAGATGTTTCTCTCTCTTTCTCTTCGTACTTTGAATAGCTTCCCTGTATTGTATATTAAGTTGAAACCAATTATTTTCTCATTAAAGTATTATTATATTTAATAGAGTTTTAGCTGTACTTTTAAATTGCATCAAGACTGAAAGTGACAAAGAGGCAATTCGCACATCTATAGAGCACATACATCAAACTTTATTTGAATATGTCAGTGTCAGTCCCTATGAGGCAACCCCTCGAGATGTGCTTCTTACACATTTCGAGGTACTGCAGTGCTTTAAATCATTGGTCACTTTGTATCCTGAAGAAGGTCTTGATAGGTAATGTGTGATGTTTTCACATTTAGTTAATGAATACAAGATAAATATAAAATTGTGAGAATTATAATCACTCATTGCACATATCTTTTTGCAGAATCTTGCAACAGTTGAAGTCACCGAGTGCCAATCAACGCGCTCGTGCTCTGGTAGTCTTGAAATATTTCATAAACACTCTTCCACCAGAGGTATAGAAACATATAGTTTCATTATCAATGCGACACTTTTCTGATATATACATATTTACCAGGAGGATGGAACATTGCAAAGAATTGCACTGAGCCTACAGGAATCTCTTAGAGAAGATAGTTCATTGCAAATGGTTAGTGCCATAGCGGCACTTGCAGCACGGCCGACATTTCCTCTTCTACCGTCACAGAGAGCTAAATTTGTTCGTTATATGGTAAATAACGCGCAAGATAAAGTTAGAGAAAAATAATAAAGAAATTAATTTTGTCTCGTTATGTAATAGGTGTCGCACTGTGACACGAAAAACGACAACATGAAGCAATGCTCCACAGCTTTGCATTTACTCGCGACAACAGTCGACGACGTTGAGTCTTGGTTGTGGCCGTGTTTGATAAATGCATTGCTGGATCCATCTTGCGTAGCATCTGTAAGTAACACGATCGAAATTATATGTCGTATGTTAATTCTCAAATCTAATTGCTCTTTTTTCTACATAGGTTGTATCCGTATTACGTTCATTGACTCCGTTAACGATAAAAATAATACGTAATGAAAACTCTTCGACAGACGAAAGGGATTTCCCTGGCACGAAAGTCTTAGGCAGATGTCTGGAATTACTAAGCGATCCAGCTAATCGACTCGCAGTGGTGATGTTTTTGAGAGCAGCAGCATCTTTGGTAGGACATCGAGTGAAACCTTACTGGGACGAAAAGTTGTTGGAACTTTCACAGGAATGTTCACGAAAGGAACAAAGAAATCCTCAAAATAGTTCCAAAGAAGCGAAAGATCTCATACAACGGTAACAATATTTAGAGATCAGTTTCTGATTTGCATATATTATTAAGAAAACTTTCTTTAATTTCTTTTTTGATTATCCAGAGATTTAATTTGGGAAAAGAAGATAATAGAGTGGTTGGAAGAGAGCGTGAAACTAGAAGGAGAATCGTGGAGCGGCAAGATTGCTGACGAACTCGCTTCGAAAGCAAGCACACCAAATGTAGCATTATTTTTAGCATGTACGTGCAACAACAATGCTCACATTACTCTCCTTGTCGAACTCGCGCGTTCTCGCGGTACTACCAAGGAATTCGCGCGAGCAATCGGCATCTGCGCCAAACGACACTTGAGTATCGTGTTGAAATTAATGGAGGAGTTTTGCGCCGTCGAGGACGCTAAGAAAGTCCGCGTGTCACTGTTGGGTTTAATGAGAGACACGAAAACCACCGCTACCGCTGAAGCTCCAAAAGCGGGTTTGTTACAATCCTATGCTGAAATAGCTCAGAGGGGGGATCCGCAGAAATTCTTCTCGGTATTTGAAAAGCACGTATTACCGTGGAGTATTAAACAGTTGAACGAATGTAAGGAATTATCTACAAAAGAAGCAGGACTGTCAGTCTTGGAACAAGTAATTTTAATAAATTATTAAATAATTTAATTTTGCGTAAAAATTTATATATTTAAGTATGAAATATTCTTTACTCATCGTATAATGACAGGATTGTTGATTTGTAGGTAGCCAATGCTGTTCATCCCACCAAATTTCCCGAATTTAAGAGTTTGCGTATAAAAACTACTGCTTTAGCTACTTTATTGGGAATTTTACAATCGTCAAGCGGATATAGACCGTTGCAACTTTATCCGGCGATACTGAAAGCAATAAACTCTTTAATGTATGTGACATTTAATAACATGTATTTTTTTTTAAATGTAATAAATTATAGGCATAGGCTCTTGTGTGAATACAATCAAAAGCTAAATAAGAAATGGCAAATAAGAACCAGCACAGTAAGTGGAGCGTATACTTAATTATAGAATAAAAATTTAATAAATATAAAATGAACGTTTGTTGGGGTTCTCTTTAACTTATTTAGAGTAGCAAGTATATCGGGATGACTAATAAATCACAATATTATCAAAGAGAATTGTCAGATAAAACAGTTACATTGTCAAGCGAGGATTGATCACATAATTGTCAAATAAAAGAATATTGTCAGATAAACGAATATAATTAAAAAAAAAAGAATCTGTGTTTATAACATCGAATGGTCAAGCAAACATATGAATCATCCAGAGAACGACTTGCTTTAAATACGCTGCAGATGGCTAAAAAAAAAAGG